CGAACAACAAAAAAGGAACTACTGATAAGCACAACCTCGGTGACTGTCACTCAAATGCATAATGCTGAGTGAAAGAAGCTAGTGCCAAATTTAGTCAATTTTCTGTCACTGACAAAATACTTGAAAAAGAAAACCTTGAAGGAGGAAAGGTTTATCATGGTTCCTGGTTTCAATCCTAGCCAGGTGGTTCCATTACTTTCAAGCCACTGATTAGAAATATCATGGTGGAAAGACATGCAGAGGAAAACTGCTCATCTTAGAACATCTAGGAAGCAAGAGATACGCAGAAAACGTAGCCTGGGGTCAAGGTATAGTCCCCACAGGTATGTCCCTCTTATGGCTGGGTCTAGATGTCCCCGCAAAATTTAATGCAGTTGTGGGGGGGGGCTTTCCAAAAGTGGCTGGATCTAGAGTGAGTGATACTGGGATTAAGGGTGTGTGATTACTAAATCAGTCCACCGAATGGTTTGGCACCGCCAATAACCTAGAGTATAAAAGGGACAGAAAAAGTTGGTAAAGTCCTGTGCTTATTTTGCTGCCTACCTGACTGTGATCCTTGTCTGCTGCACCACCTGCCTTGGAACCAGCCAACTATGCACCAGAAACTTTACAAACTGTAAGCCAAATAAAACTTCCCTCCCATAACTTTGGGCGAAACATATTTTGTAAGAAAAGTAACTAACACACCCCCATAACCCATGTCCTTTAACTAAATGGGAGCCCAAAATTTCTAACATCTCCCAATAGTGCCATCAAACTATGAATCATCATAAATTAATCCACTCTTGAAGTTGTAACCCTCATAATCTAATCACCTTCTAAAAGTTCTATCTTTGAACACTGCTATATTGGGGACCAAGATTTCAAAGAATATGAAATTCAGGGGACATTCCTGATCCAAACCATAACAGGCATGGTTCTAATTAAATGATATTAATGTAGCCAGGCATGATGGTGTATGTCTGGAATCCAGGACTCTGGGAAGTTGAGGCAGGAAGATTCCAAATTTAAGACCTGCCTGAAGAACTGCAATGTGATGACACCCTCAAAATAGAAATATTTTTTAAAAGGATGGGGTTATAGCTCAGCGCAAAGGCCCTGCACTCAATTCTGTCTGTAATAGTGTAAAAACTCATCACTCCAGCCAATAATCATGAGAAAACATTATCAGTCATATTGATAAACATTCCACAAAACTATTCATCGGTACTCTTCAAGAATATCAAGGTAAAGGGCTGGGGATTTAGCTCAGTAGTAACACTGCTTACCTTGCAAGTACAAGGTCCTGAGTTTAATCCCCGGTACCGAAAAAAGAATATGAAGGTAAAAAAACAAAAAACACCATCTTTGAGTAGATTCAAAGACAAAACTACTAATGACAGCTGACATTGGCTCCTGGAACAGTAAAAGGTACTAATAGAAATGCTAGAGAAATCTCAATAAACACTGCAGTCCTGTAACTAGTACTGTACCAAGGTTGAGAGATACAGACATGGTATACGTATATAATCTATATACAGAGAGAGCATATCCATAGGATGACACACAGCTGCAACATTCACTATATAATTCTTTTACTCATACCTCATAAAGACAATCATGAAAGAAGACTTCCAACACTTCAGAAAATGGCAGCCAGGGATTTAGCTCAGCAGCACCACTCCTGCCTTACAAGTTCAAGGTCCTCAGTTCGATCCCCAGTACCCCCAAAAATAAAAAACAAACAAACAAAAAAAAGAATGAAAATGTCAAGAAAAAAAAAGTGGCAAGAATGGAATAAGTGTGCTCCAGGCAAGGGGGAGTATTTTGCAAGAGATAATAGGAATGTGTCTTCTACTGCAGTAATTTTTCATTTAAACACCATTTTGATCATCCTTCATAGGTTAACAGACTACAAATAACATTTGAAAATTAGTGAGAATGATCCAGGCATGGTGGTGCTGAGGAAGGAAGATTATGAGATCAACACCAGCCTAGGCAATTTAACAAGACCCTTCTCAATAGGAAATAAAAAGGGCTGGGGATATAGTTCAGTACTAGAATAATGACCTATCTTGTGTGGGGCTCTGAGGTAACTCCCAGTCCTGCAAAACAGTTTATAAAGAAATGTTATTCAATCATCAAAACATATACAAAACCTTGCTGACTACTCACTTTTATCACTAATATCACACTCCAAGCTTTAATCATCTCACCCCTACACCACATCAGCAATCTAAGAAGCTTGGTGCTCTTATTATCCCTCCCTCCTTTAAACTAGTCTCAAAAGAGCAGCCAAAAGTGCTTCATTTAAGTCCCACCACAGTATTCCCGTTTTAACACCCTTTCACAGTTCCTCTTTTCACACAAAATTAAAATCTTTATTTTAATGCTTTATTCACTGCCTACAAAACTGCAAGATCTCACCCCAGCAGCCCTATCTTCTATGATTTTATCTTAGTACTTCCTGCTTGTTCCTCCCTTGCAATCCCAGGAACCTCAAGCATTCTTTCTCCTTAAGTCTCTGCACAAACTGTTTTACAGAGCTTTTTTCTTAGAAGTCCGCAGAGCTAACTCCTTTATTTCCTCTCCTAAAATGATAAAATAATGGCTACTAGTTTGTTAATTTTTTCTCTATGTGCATGCAACAGAACTTTGCCTCTCTTCTGATCAAGACATACAATCTTTTTCACCACCCTGAGTATACCATGTGGCCAATGAAATAAATATAACCCAAGGAGAAGCTTCAAAATGTCAACGCATATGGCTTTGTCCTCTCTTGCTACTGAAACCCTTTTCTTAGGCCTCCCCGTGTGAATGAAGAGAATTTAGCTTATGTAAGGAGTACCAGCTGAATCAGCCCCAATCACAATAATCACCCAGTCCCGCAACAGAACTGTATGACACATCTAGCTGTTCAAATATCATGACTTGTCCAGATACATGATTAGTAAACAAAAAGCCAGGATTTACAGCCATACTCAGTCCAGGATCCCATGCTCTCCCTTTCTATAACATCTCAAATTTTTAAAGTCTTAAAAATATTTTCAACTTTAGAATTTAATTTGAACAACTGCAACAAACATTTCCCACATCTATACAAAGATAATAAAAATATGCAAATACAATCTGCTACATAGATTAAAAACTGATACAATTAGAAGTTAGTAAACTCTCAAGATTTACCAACCTTTCCGCTTTTGTTTTTATCTCCACCACCTTTTCTGCCTCTCCTTCAAGGGCTGGGGATGTGGCTCAGTGGTTCTGCCACCTGCCTCCCAAGCACAGTGACCAGAGTTCAATCCCTGGGCCCCCCTCAAAAAAAATCTGCTTTCATTAAAAAAAAAGAAAAAAATCTAGGAAAAGTATAAAACCTTTAAAAACAGAAAAAGAATGGTGAGGAGGGATATGCTTTATGCAATTATTTCAGCTAGGTAAATGTTAAGAACAGATTACACTGAATAGGGTAGTTTTAAAAAGACATAAGGCTATATACAAACTTACAATAAAAACATATTCTCACTTGTCTGAAAAAAAAAATCACAGACAGGAAGATCTTTCATTACGTGGTATTACCTAACAATTTCAAACCACTTGCGAATCATTTTTTTAAAATTCCCATATCATATTATTCCAATTAGAGATGTCAATGTTTTTTAAAACCACTGAAGGAAAACGTAGATCAACATTGATATGGTAATTGACAAGGAATGCCTTTCTAGATATGGCACTTTAAGCACAAAAAAGTAAAGTAAAAGTATGACTCCATAAATTTTTAAAATCACTATAATTGAAGTTAAGGCAATGGATAAGAAGGGGGAAAACAATGACAAGAAGTCCAGAAAACTATTTTGAATGCATTTGCCAAAATTCAGTAAAAACTTGACAAACAATAAAATTCTTGCTCTATTTCAGAAAAATCAAAAGTAGGGCCAGGGATTTGGCTAAGTGGTTCCACTGCCTGCCTCACAAATGCAAAGTCCTGAGTTTGATCCCTGGTAATTAAAAAAAAAAAAAAAAAAAAAAA